TGTAACATACAGAATTTTAAAAACGCACTGCATCAAAGAGGTCCACGCGGTGTCCATGAGAACAATAGCACAGAATTCTTTTTTATGTTTAGATGCATACTCTTTTAAATGAATGGGCATTGAAAGATCATTTCTGATTGGTCACTGTGTGTTATTGCGTTTTTCAGCATACTGTTTCTCAGTCTGCTTCCAGTGGCATTTGAAAACGCAACCAAATAAAATTCCGCTCTAAAAAATGTATGATAGCGGTCCACTATAAGGCTCCGTGTACACAGGACACGTCTGAACAATGGAAACAGGCTGCTGGAAAACGTAAGTTATAAAACGTCTGTTTAGCCCCGTTTGCATACTGCATTTATGAGTGTTTGCGTTTAGAAGATTTTTTTATAGATAACCTCAGGAGACCTTCCAAAATGCGCAGAATGCACTGAAAAACAGTAAAAAATTAACTATTTCAGACATTTTGAGAGAAATGAAGAGAGCAGAAGCAGAGAGAGCAGTATTTGTTGAGATTAGCTGTCTTTTTTTTGTGGTGTTTGGATGTTTTCCAGCTCATTTCTGTGCAGAAATTATTGCAGCAGTGTCTAACATATTTTCTTTCATGCGAAACCTCAAAGTATGGTGTACCAAGTCCATTTGAGTACAGGGAAAACACTTTGCATGCATTTTTCATAATGAAAAAAGGCTCTGGACAGCATCTGGAAATGGAAGAGTTAAAAAAAATTTTTAAACCGAAACGCTTAGAAACACATTTAGCCGCGTTTACACGCGTTTGGCATTTGAAACGCTGATAAAGGCCCCATGTACACATGACACTTCTGAACGATGAAAACTAACTGCTGGAAAATGTAGGTTAAAAAACATCTGTTTAGCTGCGTTTGCATAACACATTTATGAGCGTTTGCGTTAGAAGCGTTTTTTTTAAAGATAAGCACAGGAGAACCTCCAAAATGCCCAGAATGCACTGAAAAGTGGCAAATTATTAACTATTTCAGACTGTGTCAGAGAAATACAGAGAGTAGAAGCAGAGACTGCAGTATGTGTTGAGATTAGCTTAGGTGTGAGTTGCTCATTAACATTTCTTTTGTTTCCAAGGGTGGGAAGGTGTCTGGTGGAGGGAGTCATTAAGGCCACCTGGCAGGGGGTCTTCAGGAGGAATTTGAGGTGTGAATGGTCATTAACATATCTTTTGTTTCCAAGGGTGGGAGAGGTCTGAGGTGTGAATTGGTCATTACAACGTGTGACAAGCTTGGTAGGGACATCCTGTGTTCAGTGTTTTGTCCATCTGAGCACCTTGAAAACGCTTTGCATGCATTTTTCATGATGAAAAAAGGCTCTGGACAGCATCGACAACTGGAAGAGTTAAAAAAAAATTAAAACACGATTTGACGTGTTTATCCGCTTTACAAGTGTTTTCCATTTGAAACACTGATAAAAATCTACTCCTGAACGCAAGTTTTCTGCATTAAAAAAAAAGACTGTAAACTCAAATGCCTGTAAATGATGATGTGTACATGGACACATAGGAAAACATTAAGAGAGTTCAGGGGCAGCTGAAAAAAAACGCTGAACGGCTCCTAAACGTGAGTTTATCAGCTGCAGTGTACATGAACCCTAAGCTGTAATTAAGGCCGGAGAAGATTTGAGAACAATATGAATTTATGCCATAGAGGAATTCACAGGTGAGGAAGGATTATCATACGGTCTGGCTGGCGTATAATGAGGAATCATCTACAGTCATGGAACAGTGCCATCCAGTGGGCACGAAAAATGCAGGACGTCTGCAAGATATTCGAAGACAAATTGGATTTGAGCTAAGCAAGTATCACACAGATGTGGCAGTATATCTGACGGAGCCAAGAGCCATGGTTTGTGTGCCAGGCGTGTATGATTTCAGGGAAATATTGTTTTAAACACCTTGCATCGGATGCAAAGATCTGCAATGTGGTACTGTAGATGTAAACCAATGACATCAACAATCCAATATACTCAACTAAGGCTCAATGGGAAAATGGTTTGCATTTTATAGTAAAGGTCTTTAAATATTATTTTTTTTTAATTAGACTTTATTAACATGTTACCACTGGTTATCTTCTTCTAGCTGCTTTGGCTCAAGAGGTGTGAGCCGAGATTCCTCATAAGCGCAACCCTTTCAGGGTTGTCACCAGGGCTGGATCTGGGGGGGGTGCTGGGGTGGGCTGTGCCCCTCCAGATTTTAGTTGGCCCCTCCAGGTCTATGAGAGTGTATCCACTGATCCATGAGCCAGTCTGACTGGGGAAGTTCATTTGTGAGGGAGCACTCTGACGCAGAGCCGGACTGACCATATGGAAACACGGGCACTGCCCGAGGGCTCGGGGTCAGTAGGGGACCCCAGGAGATATCCCTGGTACCTTTTTCATAGGCTTTTTTGAGTTTGGGCAAGGACACAGGGGCCCCATGATCCCCTATTGCCCAGGTGCCCCATGAGTTGTCAGTCTGCCCCTGCTCTGAAGTGATGGAGACAGTTGATATAGGGAGGCACTCTGACTGGGACAATCCATATAAGGGGGCATTGCGATGGCGATATCTGATAGAAGGGGGCACTAGGATTTGGACACCTGACGTAAGGAGGCAGTCTGATTGGGACAATCCATATATGTGGGCGCTTTGAAAGGGATACCCGATGTAAGGGGCACTATGATTTGGACACCTGATGTAAGGCGACACTCTGATGGGGACAGTGGATGTAAGAGAGCACTCTCATAGGGACATTTGATGTAAAGGGCACTCTCATTGGGACATCTCATGTAAGGGGGCACTCTGATGGGGACACCTGATGTAAGGGACAGGGGCGGACTGACAACTCATGGGGCCCCCGGGCAATAGGGGATCATGGGGCCCCGGTGTCCATGCCCAAACTCAAAAAAGCCTATGAAAAAGGTACCAGGGGCATCTCATGGGGCCCCGTACTGACCCCAGGCTCTCGGGCAGTGCCCGAGTTTCCAAATGGTCAGTCCGCACCTGTGAGGGAGCACTCTGAAGTGATGGAGACACTTGATGTAGGGAGGCACTCTGACTGGGACAATCTATATAAGGGAGCATTGCGATGGCGATATCTGAAAGAAGGGGGCACTAGGATTTGGACACCTGACATAAGGAGGCAGTCTGATTGGGACAATCCATATATGTGGGTGCTTTGAAAGGGATACCCAATGTAAGGGGCACTATGATTTGGACACCTGATGTAAGGGGGCACACTGATGGGGACATCTGGTGTAAGGAGGCACTCTGATGGAGACAGTTGATGTAAGAGAGCACTCACATAGGGACATTTGATGTAAAGGGGCACTCTGATAGGGACACATCATGTAAGGGGGCATTATGATGGAGACAGTTGATGTAAGAAAGCACTCTGATGAGGACAGTTGATGTAAGGGGGCACTCTGATGGGGACACCGGATGTAAGGAGGCACTCTGATGGGGACTCCTAATGTAAGGAGGCACTCTGATGGAGACAGTTAATGTAAGGAGGCACTCTGATGGGAACAGTTGGTGTAAGGGGGCACTCTGATGGGGACAGTTGGTGTAAGGGGGCACTCTGATGGGGGCACTTTATGGATGGGAGCACTCTGATGGACACTCTGATGTAAGGGGAACTCTAGTGCAAATCTTGATGTAAGGGGAAGGGGGACTCTGATGGGAACTTTGATCTAAAGGAGCACTCTGATATGGACCCTGATGTAACGGGACACTCTGATGGGGACCCTGATGTAAAGGGGGACTCTGATGAGTACTCATGATGACAAGAGTGACTCTGATGAGCACACCTCATATAAGAGGGTACAGGTTCTGTTATCACCCTAATCTAATGATATCCTGATACATACTAGTGTTTCCCAGGTCAGACTGTCAGTGACTCAAACAATGTTGACATTATGCCCCCTGACTTTTTTTTTATTGCACCCCCAGATCAGATCAGAGGCTAGATCCGGCCCTGGTTGTCACTCACTGATCTGAAGGTTTAACTCTTTTATTCCCCTCCTATGAGCAGACTTCCAGGCACATCATGCATCTGTACAAACAAACAAATTATATTCCAGCACGCTTACCAGCAAGGCTGCAAAAAAATGACACTGTATAACAATTTACATTTACAGAGGTTTTAGTTGCACACATTTGCAAATATATGTGGAAGCTGCACTGCCTCATCAAGGCTCCTCTGTAAAGTGCGGACCTGTATTTGAGAGTCTCCAAGTTGGAGCATTAATAGCAATGGATAAATGAAGGTCACATATGCCTGGAGGGAGTCAACACCTCCTTAAATAATGTACAGATATACCTTAGATGGCCAGCAAGAGTACAATGGCATATATATATATATATATATATATATATATATATATATATATATATATTTAAATGTATTTGAAATATATTGAATAGGGCCAAAATATATGTCAATATATTTGGGAAAAATATTTTTAAAATATATTTAAAATATATTTTTCTTCTATGTGGGTTATACTGCTATTTTCAGAGTTCGTATGTACTCTCCAGCGCTTCAGGAAATGGACAGCCAAAGGGAAGCCAAGTGGACCAGGACAGAGATAACCAAAAGAAGATGCTTCAGGGGTGCAGCCCTCCTTAGACAGGGAGATCAGCCATTATATAAAGAATAAACAGGTGGCGCACACACCTAGTTCATTATCCAAGGTTTATTCAAAGGTATAAAAGACAAAAACATACTCACAGATATGTATAAAAAGTTTTGCATTAAGAAGATGGCCACAATGGCAAGCAAGGTGTTCCAACTGTCAGTGCGGTCAAATGAATGACGCATTTCGGGAACGAGTCCCTCAGAGGTACAGCAGCAACGTTGTTCAAAGCATCGGTCCTCCTCATCCACTACACATCTGTACTAGTCTAAGAGGCTGGTCAGTATGAACAGGAGCCAGGCGCTGTGTAGTTTTGTGATAAAAGTAATACACCTTTATATGGAGGTGTGCCTTTAATAATTCATATGGTAAAAAATAAATAACCAGCCTGTGGCTTTAAGAAGTCAGGTTCCAAGATGGACGGCCCGTCCGCTCAGAGGGAAGCAGTGGAGTAGAATACCTGTCAGTGCAGGGACCACGTGTACCCGACGTCCCAGCGTCCTGGATGACGTCACCACGATGTGGAGAGACGGAGGGGGGGAACTCTAGCTGGAGCCGCAGCTCACTGCTGCTGAAGAGACTTGATAAAGCGCATGTGCGTGAAACATGTTGTCCCGGCAACCGGCCTCTTCCTTCTAAAGCTGCAGCTCCAGCAAGAGTTCCCCCCCTACGTCTCTCCACATCGTGGTGACGTCATCCAGGATGCTGGGACGTCGGGTACACGTGGTCCCTGCACTGACAGGTATTCTACTCCACTGCTTCCCTCTAAACGGACGGGCCGTCCATCTTGGAACCTGGCTTCTTAAAGCCACAGGCTGGTTATTTATTTTTTACCATATGAATTATTAAAGGCACACCTCCATATAAAGGTGTATTACTTTTATCACAAAACTACACAGCGCCTGGCTCCTGTTCATACTTCCCACAAACCGATGTGTTTTTACCATAGCAGCAATGAGTTTTTTCCCCACCAATCACAGTTGACATATACCATTCACTTATTTCCTTTGGGACACATCTGTGCGTTTTTATCCAGACTGTTCTAAGAGGCTGGTCAGCAGCTCTGAGGAAAGGAACTCATCCCCGAAACGTGTCAGCCATTTGACCACACTAACAGTTGGAACACCTGCTTGCCGTTGTGGCCATCTTCTTAACCTTCTTAGCAGGATTCCCGAGTGTAGCTCGGGGTAAAATTTCAATACCAAGAGCGGTAACCCCGAGCTACACTCGGGCTTACCCTGCGGCGTTGCTCAGGGGGTCCCTGCAGCACTTACCTTGTCCTTCGCTCCCGCGATGTGTCCCCTGCAGCGTCCCCGGCCATCTCCTCCGGCCAATGCCGGCATCCGGCTTCTGTGTTCCGGTCCCTGTGACGTCGGGACGTACGGCGGGAAATTTGAAGTTTTTTAAAAAATGTCATTTTTGCTGTCATTGCTGTTTCAATGTATTTCACATATATTTTGTCCCTACTGCTTTGTCCTGTGCCCTGCCTGCATTTTGACTGTTCTTTCTGTCTGGAAACTTAGAAAAGTCCATGGCATCCAAAAAGCATCCCTTTACGTCAAAAGCGGTTTTAGAACAGCAATAGTAAATCAGAACCACTTGCAGAATTGAGTGATAATGATTTGTGGTGAAATTCGTCATCAGACACTGAAAACGATTTTGCGACTTTGCTCAGCGATGTGCGAATTTGCCTCTGTATTTCAAATTTCAGTGTTTTTGGTTTGATTATATTATTGAATCAAATTTTATTATTATTATATTATTATTTTTTATGATTATTTATTAAATTATAATTTATGATTTCGTGTTTCAAATTTTATCATATCTGGAATGTTTAATAGACTCTTGTTCGGACAGATTTCAGTGAGTTATTCCTAAAAATTACATCCTACAATAAAAAACTACATATTTCCATGCAAAAAAATGGTACCGCTTTCAGCCCAAAAAATTGGAAAGAATCATACCGCCAGGGAGGTTAATGCAAAAGCTTTTTATACATGCTTCGTCTGTGAGTATGTTTTTGTCTTTTATACCTTTGAATAAACCTTGGATAATGCACTAGGTGTGTGCGCCTGTTATTTTCAGAGTACCTGTTTTATGTTTGTACTTTTTGGGTATACTGCACCCTAAACCCTCTCTCCTGGAAACTGTTTTCAGCAATACCAAATACAAAGACTGAAGTGACTGATGCACAACCTGTTTTTCTTCCCAGCATAAACCAAGGACCAAATCCTGAGATTAAAATGTTAGTCTGCCTCACTACTTAAGGGGTCATTCCATGCCACCCCAAAGGGACAGTTGCCTTAATAAAATATTACATTTGGATGAACTGATCTTTTAAAACAACACACACACAAAGTGCATGTATGATACATTTTACATGTGGCACCATTTATCCTTATGAACATATTATTTCTGGAATTGCCAGTAAACTACATCAAGGAAGTTTTTTTTGGAGCAAAATGGTGAAAACCGCTCCAATGAAAATAGCAGTACAGAACTTTGTCTATGCCCCTGGTGCAGTACATCATACCAACAGTGTAGAGATCTAAATGGGCCCTTTGTACTATCTCAGGAATATAGAATTAACACTTGCAGATACCTGACAGTTTTAGAAGTGGGATGATACTCAGCCTTTTCGAGGTTTACTTTTTGGAAGCTCACTCAGGCTGTATTTATACATGCAAGGAGGATCTGCTTTGAAAGGTTAGCTCATCATTTCCAATGCATCTTAAATGTAACCCTGTCAGATGTGAGCTGTTTGGAGTAAGCTCCCCGCTGAGACCATTTTAGTCAGGCTTCAGACAGAAAATTAAACCTCCGCTGAAAGCCGAATTTTTACTTTGTTATTTAAAACCCACTACAGGCTGAACCCAAAAAAAAAAGCAGAGACCTCTGTAGAGGATCACAGGCTGAAGGCGCACTGAGGTCCTTGTGGAACAGAGCCAGACAGGAAAACGCAGCATGGTGCATTTGTAATGCGCTTGGCTGGACCAGAATCTAAGAGAGCTGGAGAGTCTGAATTTCTTAAGCTGACAGCTGACATCAGATATATATATGCTATGCAGGGCCAGAATTCATTCCTGGAGTCGGCAGACACACAAGCTCTGGTGCCCAAGGCAACACCGATCTTCTAGAATATCATTTCTCAACCTTTTAAACATGAATAAACCCTTGAAATAACTCTCCAGTTTGAGGAAACTCCCTGCTAATAATGTCTATATCTAAAGCTCACAGTATATTTGTAGGATGGCCACTGGAAAGAACACTCCTTACATTTGAGGTCATTGGGAAGAATCCACCCTTATAGATAGCTAAAAAGATCATTGTTTTCAGTGATTACTTATCCAAGAAGCAGATATTGCTCATTGCTCAAGGAACCCCTAGTAACCCCTGGAGGAACCCCAAGGTTCCATGGAACTCTGGTTGAGAATGGATGTTCTAGGATATATCTAGTAGTAGTTAGTCCTTGTCAAGTGGACTAGTTCTGGAATGTTGAAGATATTTTGCAGCTTATCCAAGACACTTTTTCAGTTCTAATGAGTGTCAGGAAAATAACCCTGCATTTGTAGCCACACAGGTAACTCGGTCATAATAATCCATTCACCAAGGAATGTGTCAATGCAGATGTTGATAGTCCAGGAATGGGATGGGAGTTGTAAAAAGGTTATGGTTCCACCAGATGGTTTCACAAATTGTCACACCAACCAATCTGTTCTTGAACAATCAGCATCTACCTTGACACATTCCATGGTGTTTCTATCAAGGTGACTGAGTTACTTGTACAACTATAAATGCTGGGATATATTGCCGACACTCATTAGAACTGAAGAAGCACCTTGAATAAGCTATGGAATGTCTTTAACATTACAGAGCAAGTCCAGTTAAATGTGACTTGTGACAGGAGTGACTTTTGGGGGTGGGGGGACCCCTGTGTCAGCTCATGTTCCTTTCATTATGTTTAACCCACCCTGTGCCTGCTAAGGGGTAGAGGCAGGGGCGGACTGACAACTCATGGCGCCCCCGGGCAATAGGGGATCATGGGGCCCCTGTGTTCTTGCCCAAACTCAAAAAGCCTATGAAAAAGGTACCAGGGGCATCTCATGGGGCCCCCTACTGACCCCGGGTCCTCGGGCAGTGCCCAAGTTTCCAAATGGTCAGTTCGCCCCTGGGTACAGGGTGTGAATGTGAATGTATATTGTGTATTGGTGTGTTGTCCTTTGTTCCCTGCCTAGTGGTTGCCCATTTTTGTCTGCCATGTGCTACATCCCATTGTTCTGTGTCTTGGTTGGATGGGGCGGGCTGATGATGTGTTTCCTGTAGCCCTCCCCACTGATGGGGCGAGCTGATTATGTGTTTCCTGTTCCTGGTTGTGTTTCCCCGCCCTGTGTATATATCTTGTGTTTTGTGTAAAAATAAAGGAGTTGACTTCCTGTCTTAAGAGATTCTGGTGCTGTCTCATTTCCTGCATGATCAGCGGGTGTGGTCCGTGGATTTGTGTTCGGACAGGGACGCTTCAGTATAACGGAAAATACCCAAGTGTGGACTGGGTTCCGGTTCCATTACATGACTGACTACTACTTTATATATATAATGGATAGATATTATTAAAATAATTGAGAACCTTTACATGCATGTTTTCTAGTATCATCATTTTTATAAAAAACAACAACGTTTCTTACTGGTACTAGCTTGGTTTAAAATATTGGGACAATGTAAATAAATTGATAGGAGATGTATTTATTATTAACTATGATAGGAAAAAAAGATACGTGACCATTGCCTATAGACGTACAAATGAAGGTGGATCCCTGAATCCCCCAGTGCTGCTTACATAAACCTAGGCACCTAATCAAAGGATTTTTCATAAATGGGGAGAACCAGTCAAAACATTCTATTTAGCAGATATTACATGATGTTTGAATGTGGTTAAGAATGCAAAAACCACAGAGGGAAGGACTGCCTCCTACTGCCCTCCCACTCATCCTGTAAGGTGTTCTGTGTTTCCTGGGACTGCAGCGTATTACAGGGAGCTAAGTCCCGCTATAAGTCGCTGATCGCCGCCATTACTAGTAAAAAAAAAATAATAAAATATTCCAGAATCTATACCGCCATTTGTAAACACTATAACTTTCACATAAACCAATTAATTTACACGTACTGGGATTTTTTTTTAGCAAAGACATGTCGCAGAATACATTTAGGCCTAAATTTATGAGGAAATTAGATTTCTTTAATTTTTTTACTGAACATGTTTAATAATAGCAAAAAGTCAAAAATATTGTTTTTTTCTCAAAATTGTCGGTCTTTTTTTTATAGCGCAAAAAAAAAAAAACGCACAGGTGATCAAATACCACCAAAAGAAAGCTCAATTTGTGGGGAAAAAAGTACGTAAATTTCATGGTATGACTGCGCAATTGTCAGTTAAAGTAACGCAGTGCCGTAACGCAAAAAATGGCCTGGTCAGGATGGGGAGTAAATCCTCTGGAGGGCAAGGGGTTAAAATAAATGAAATTTATAAATTAAGAGGATGGATAAAGCAAGGGGTTGATTATGCTTGGAAAAAGTATAGCTATGCATTGAAACACCTCTATCAGGTTTATTATCTGGATGAGGGGGGTTTCCTTTTTTAAATGGTTGAATTAGTAGCCAGCTTGCTGTTTGTCAGCAATTCAGGGGTTAATGTAGAAACAAGCAAAACATCTGGGGATTGGAAATGAGTGTGATTTTCTAGCACAGTATTGTCATGTTAATTACACCTCTTCCCATGAAAGCTTCAAACCCTCAGAGGCCATTGTTCAAAATAGAAAAAAAACTCAAGACCAAAA